TTAAAGACTAAATAAATAAAATTGATATTAGATATTGATATAAAAATAATTTTATTAGATGCATTCTACAAGATATTTTTAAAATGTTATTTTATATACTTAATATATTATTCCCTCCGTCTCAAATTAAGTTAACTAATTATTATTTACATGGTCAAATTTCAATCACTTTCTGTCCTTATTTTCATTTTTCGCTTGAAAAAAATAATATATCCATGTCATTTCTTGCTTTGTAAAGCTTTTGATATATTTTTTTAACATGTAAAGTTTATATTTTGCTTCAATTTTTTAAAAAATTACATTAAAAACATTTCGATCAAATATCGTAAACCGAACCAAATTATTTAAAATGGGATATAAGGATTATATATTTTTTATTTTTGGCATTCTCTTATATATTTCAACTATATCTACTTATGTATTTTTAATTTGTTGTGCTTTTAAATTATTTTATGCAATTTTAATTTGTTGTGCTTTTAATATAATTCCTAATAGAATCCCAAAAATAGAAAAAAATTAAATACATAATTCATAAAATAAAAATTACATAAAATAAAAATAAAAGCTTAATAAAATAAAATTATATAAACAAACATATTGACAATTGGTTTTTTATTACAAAATAATTCAAACTAATTTTTATTCTAGAAATTCTAGAAAAATGATTGTTATTGATTACACGTGTTTGATTTTTATTAGATGAATTGAATTAGAAGTCTTGAGAGTGAGTATGAGAATTCAAAGACTCTTACATTTTCTGTGCACTTAATAGTAAAGTCTGGAGAATAGAATCTTAAGAGCCTTTCTTGGATTCTATCCAGACTCTCATTGGGAATATCTTTCTTCACGACAGATAGTGTATCCAACTCTTTTACAGTTTTACATACTTTCCAATTGTCAAAGAATCAACTCAACTAAAAGCTCAATCTTATGATTGTGGCAAAAAAATGTATTACTACCTCCGTCCCTGAGTATTTATCCAGTTTTGACTTTTCTGGTCAACTGTTTTTAACCTTTGATTTAAAATTAAATAAAATATATATTATATATTAATTAGATAAAATAATATTATTGAAAATGTTCGATATAATTTTTATTTCAATATTTTATATCATTTTTATTTAATTTGAGTTCAAAGTTAACCAAATTTGATTGGAAAAAGTAAAAAATAGACAAACACTCAGAGACGAAGGAAGTGTATTCTAACACGCTCCTCACAAACGTAATCGGTTCGAGCCTTGCGCGTAAAATTTTAATTTTTTAAAATTAGGTGACATTTAGATTCAAATTCATGACCTCTTGGTCAAAACTACTTTGATATCATGTAGGCCCATTTTATACTCTACCCCCAATCTTTTAAATGAAGCACCAAGTGCATGTTGTGTATTTGTATCATCTCCCCAAACTCTCTTCTATGATGAAAAATCCATAAAACCCTGCAATGTGGACACAGATTCCGATTTTTCCAATTATTATCAAATTCAAACCGCTGTCAAGAATATGTCCAAAACTTGTTTTACACACAGGAATTTACACAAAGAAAATCTGGCCAACATTCAAAAGGCTCTCATGAGGCACATTGAAAATCACACTATTCTCCCTACAAATCTTCCTCAGAAACGCATACACATAGTTGATTGCCATCTTCTTACACCACCCGGACTCTCTGCTGGCCCTCACAATGGTGTTCCCCAATATGTGCACCACCCCGGCGTCCCGAGAGCTCGTCAAGAACTCCATCTCGTCCATCTCCGTCGCGCAACTCTTCCGGGACGAACACGACGCCGTAGCGACTTCCGTGTTGTTGTTGCTGCTGCTGTTGTCGTTCTTCGGCACCGTCGAGAAATCTCTCGACCGGTTGTTCCCGTAGAGGCTGTACTCGTCCGAGTCGGAGCACCCTTCCATCATGGACTCGAGCCGGACGAACACGAAGAGGTTGTCGAATAGCTTCTTCTCAAACTCGTCGTCCTTCTTGTGCAGGTCCTTGTACCCGTACCTGGAAAAAATACGGATCGTATTAGATTTGCGTTGATCGGGAATGAGAATTGGGCTTTGAAAATTCACGTGCGCACACACCGAGAAGAAGGGATAGAGGTTTCCGCCTAATAAAACCCTACCAAACATGGGGTTTTTTGTGCGGTGGGGTTCTAGTGACACCGGAAAACGGTGCCACTAGCGGTTCCTACCCCCCTAACCCACCCCCTAAACCCCCCACCCTACCCCACCCCAACCCCGCCGTAAGCCCCCACAAAATGTGTGGCATAATAGCCACACATTTTGTGGGAGGTTTACGGCGAGGTTGGGGTGGGGGTGCAGGGGGTAGGGTGGGGGGTGGATTAGGAGGGTAGGAACCGTCAATTTTACAAATGGAGTGCCGGAGGTGCCCCAAAAACGCAGTGGCACCGGAGTGGCACTGTTCTCCAGTGTCACTAGAACCGGGCCGTTTTTTGTGACATTAAGACTAATGTCAGAGGATGACCAAAGACTCCTAAGGTGCTCCATTCGAAAAATTGAAGTGGCCATGGTGGTAGCCAATGAAGGGGAGGGGGAGCTAGGGGTACATGGGGCATGGGGTTTAGAGGAGGTTAGGGTATGTACCATCAAATTTTCAAACAGAGCATTGTAGGAGCCCCGGGTCATGCTATGACATTGAAATTCAATGTCACATGACCCGGGGTGATAGACTAGTCAAATAAGTCAATAATGTGGAACTAGCAATACCTCGCGACGCACCGGAACATGTGAAAACTCTTGGGTCCAATCCGCTTCACGAGGAACCTCTCGTCCTCCGGAACCATGTACACCGGAAGGGACTTGACGCAAACAAACACAACCACCGAGTGAATCGCGGGTAGGTTGGTGATGAAGTGTGAGAAAATGTGCGGGACCCCGCTGGCTAGCTCGGTGTAGACAAGGCCTATCCCGGGGACGCGGACGAGGCCGAGACTGGGGCCCAGCCCGAGAATCCAGGCCATCGACACCTTGCTGTGCATCTCGAACTCGTAGCGCTTCACGGTGCCGTAGTGCCACACGTACATGATGACGAGGAAGGCGGCGGCGATCACAAGTGGGACCCAGCCGCCCTGGTCGACCTTGAAGAGTACGGCGGAGAAGTAGGTGCATTCGACCACCAGAGAGAAGCAGGTGAAGGCGAGGACGAGAAGCCAGTGGCAGTGCCAGACCAGTAGCATTATCAACACCATCAGCAACGTCGTAACCAGCATCACTATCACTACTGCTGTCCCTGTTATGGAAGAAGCATTAAATTGTGGTCACACCTTACCATTGGCTCAAATCAAATATAGACACGCAACAAAGTAAATGCAGTAGCAGAAACAAAGCGAGAACAAAATAAGAGCAGAGAGACAAACACAACATCATAAACTACAAACTGTGGCGCAAAGGTCTACCTAAGTATTTTAATCCCCGATCTCCAGACTTTCCTATATAAAGTCATCATCGGTAAGATCCTAAAGTCGTAAGTCTTGCATAGTAATCTCTTTCCAACGCGTAGGAAAGGAATATGTTGCCTAAAATATTTCTTTCAAAAAAAAAAAGTTGAAACGCACTTTTCAGTATTCAACAATTTTCTTGCCAGTTGCCACACTGAGCAAAGATGTTGATTTTACTCCAACCAATGACTCCCTTCTTCTCTAGAAGAACATTTATTTAGAGTCTAATGTACAATGTAAATAAGGTAAGAAATACATTAAAGACAGTAATAGTAATCCTTAAAATCATGTTTATTTTGTTCTTGATTGACTTCTCCCTTACTTCCCTAATTGTTAACATGAAGATGGACTTGGAAACAGCCTCTCTAGTTCAAAGTAGGGGGGTACCTTACTTTTGTGAGATTTTACTGGGTTTGTTGTTGTTATATTCTTAACATGAAGCTATCACCAAACCCGGGATAAACAAGACCGGAAAAGAAGAAGAAAAATGAATGAAAAGTTAAAAAGTTGATGAACACCTTGCCCTTAGCGGAGTAGCACTGCTTGCCTTTGGCAAACAAAAAATTTTGTAAACTTGGCCTTGCCGAAGACAACTAGGCTATAGTCACATGTTTGAGGTCTGGCACTTGTTAAAGTAAAGCATTTATTGGTTTGGATTTATAAATCTGAAACAAGGTTTTCCAAAAATAGCTTCAAGAACTAGAGAATAATATACTAGTACAAAATAGGTATTTTTATGTGCAGCTGGACTTTGTTTAGGCATACCCATAATGGCTTCAAGTTCCAAGTGAATTTTGGACCCTTGAAGGCACTTTTGCAAACAAGGGAGCAAAAGTATGATTTCATGTGTTTAAGATGCACCTTTTTTTTTCCACACTTGGCACGAGGGTTGATCAGCCAATTGACATTAAAAAGAATCTCTTTCGAATTCCCAGCACGCTTCTTCAAAACATGAAATAACCAACCAAACCAAACGCCCTCATTATATCCCACTCAAAAGTAGGGTCTCGGAGGCAAGATGTATACACATCCTACCCCTCTAAGACAAAGAGTTGAGAAGGCTGTTTGGGGAAGGACAATCGGCAAAAAGTGAAAACATAGCAAGTGAAATGAAAATGAAATTATAAAAAAAATGAGAATGCATAGATTATATAGTTCTTTTAACAAAGCATAGATAATATAGTTTTTTTGTTTTTAAACAAAGCATAGATTATGCAGTAAACGCACCATAGGCATTTCCAATTTGGCTTTGATTTCGAAACCCAGCAGTCACGGCAATGCAGAGTATCATAAGGATCCAATTGATATCTGGGATATATATTTGCCCACTGAACTTTTTCGACGTGTGAACAACCTTGACCCTTGGAAAACAGCCTAACGCCAAAGCCTGCTTGATAATTGAAAAAGTAGCAGATATGGTGGCTTGACTGGCAACAATAGCCGCTAAAGTGGCTATGACAAATACTGGCCAATATATGCTCTCTGCACCAAAATGGGTTTCATCAGAAATGTGATGAACAGATAAGTTCTTCATAGCTAGGATCAGAAGTTTATGAATTTATTTTAGTTAATAAAAGAGAAACCACGCTAAAGAACACACTTGATACAACTTAACCAGTCTTTGGCTGCTGCAAGCAGATGTAAGTGATCTATAAACCCTGAAACTTAAGTTTATCCAAAAACAAAAATTAAAAATCAAAAGAAACAATAATATAATCATATGATGAACCTGGGATAGAACGATAGAATGCATCAGCAACATGATGTTTATGTTGCATGAGGTACGCTGCTTGTCCGCTGTAGGCCAAAAGAAGGCAAGGGAATACAATAACTGTGAAAGCAAGTTGAATGGCAGATACGGGAAAATGAGCAAGGTCAGCAAAAAGTGCCTCCGTCCCTGTATAAAACAGATGGAATATTAATTCCTTTTAAACTGAGTGACGGTGAGGTTCGAACTCGTGACCTCTAGGTCCGCAAGCCTTTGATACCATGTCAAGAAACCAACTCAACTAAAAGGTTTTATGCTCTAACAAAGGATGTGTAGCATGTTTAACAAAACTATTTTTAAAAAAAAAAAGTAGACCTGTAATACTGAGCATGACCCCTCCAAGTGATATCCAACCATCTTTACGCCCCGTCCTCAAATAACGATATATATACAGAGGGGAAAAGGCCTTGAGCACTGAGATATCATATTTCCAGACATTGAAAATGCCTATTCCTCCTATCGTTAGAAACCAGAGCAGTACAACTGGAGCAAACAACCAACCCACCTTGTCTGTCCCGTAATGTTGCAAGCTAAACAAGCCAACTAATATAAAGACAGAAACAAGCACGACTGCATCTGTGTGGGAGTAAGGTCAATTAAAGATCATGTTATATTCAATCAGATATGCAAGTAAATGGAATGTCACTCTTGCCAATAGAGTAGTACCACTGCTCATCTTCGGACGGTTAACCTTGATTCCACCAGAAGCTGAAAGAACTAATTAATGTAAAAGATACATCGATTAACACTTCAGAAAAGAATTTTTTTAAAATAAAAATGCAGCATGACAAACCTAAAGAAGTTAAGAGGGTCAATTGTTTTCCAAGCATAAAGTACTATAATGATGGACTGGACATATACCTGAGATGGCAGGAGTAAGAATTCCATCCCCAATTACCATACAAGTGCCAATAAGGACAAGAATGAGAAGTGCATTCTTTGTCACCGTGTATGCCTCTAGCCATCTCTTTGTTTTTGCAGCAAATGAATGCTCCGGAAACGTGCGACGACTATAGGTTGTTAGGTCCTCGTCCGTCCTATGTTGGTTTGGAATTGTTTTAATCTTCGCATGTCTACAGAGTAGCGAATAGAGAGCAAAGGTTCCACCTGAAGAACAAACAACCCCTTCAGTCATCACCACTCAAAGACAATGAGAGATTACTAAGCCTTTGTTTGGATGAGATAAGAAAATGAAAAGAAAGAAAATGATGAGAAAGAAAATGGTGAGAAGAGAAAATGATGAGAAAATGGGAGGAAAACAATTGTTGTTTCGATGACAAGAAAATGGTGAGAAAAGTGAAAAGAAAGAAAATATTAAAATATAAATTGCCATTGGTACCATTTTCTCATCTCATGTGAGAACATTTTTTTTCACAATTGATCTCTCTCATTTCTCTTCTCCCCATGGTCTTTCCCAACCAAACATGAGAAAGTTTCTTGAAATTTGTGTTTTCTCACCATTTGTTCTCTTACCTATCATTTTCCATGCATCCAAACAATAGCTAAATGCTCACATACCTTGGCCATTGTCATTTGCCCTACATACTATGAACACATACTTGAGCAGCGCTACAAGAGTGAGTGAGTATATAATCAGCGAAAGTGCGCCGATTACATCTTCAGTGTCTCGAATCCCATGGGGGAATGTATTGTAGAACACGTACAACGGAGACGTACCAAGGTCTCCATACACTACTCCCAAGCTCTGAAATGCAAGCCGTAATAGCAACACTGTTGAAAATTTCTGTAACAAGAACAGGTTGATAATGATAGTCTTGGCTAATAAGAAATCATTCTTCTCAAACCCATCAGTACTCTAACTTTAAGTGCAAACCATTAACAGCTGGTGTTCGCCACCAAAGATAAACATAATAAGCTCATCATCAATTTAAAAAGTTAATTATTTTGTAGATGATTGAAATGATTTAGCCCGTCCCAAACGATAAAAGCCTTAGAAGTCTTTTTGTCACAAATTAAGCTTTGAAGTTTCTCAATTTGCAAAGCAAGAAAGTTGTTTCTCACAGAATACATCAATACCCACAAAATATCTTTATGACTGGACGAGCATGCCTTCTTAATTTACTTGGATCATGCTTCTCTAACTATCCTTAAAGCAAACAAAAGGCAACTTACTCATCAATCAAAGGAAGAAAACGAAAAAAAAAACAGAAGAAGAAGATCTCACTGTTTAAATACCCACCATCCAATTCCCAAAAGGAACTTTAAAAAAATAAAAAAAAAAACTAAAAGAGGAGCCGAAAAGCACACATAATTCAACAATAGATAGAAAGGAAAAGTTTAACATTAAAACCAACCTTTTCTCTGTACATGTTTCTCAGTCTTCCAGCCTCCTCATCCATGGGTTGGTCTAGCTTCTGGTCCAAAACCCACATCCCACCCTTAGTTTCATTCTCATCTTCATCAATCTCCATCGAAGAAGACATCTCCTCTCAAGAAATGAAAAAAGAAAACAAGAGCTTGCACGGAATACCCTTCAATCCCAATGCTTCTCAGCTTGCAGAGAAGAAACCCCAGAGATCAAACCGCCCAATTCGACAAAATTGAAGTTGGGATTTCACGTGAACCCACAAAAACAAAACAAAAAAAAACTCAACAGAAAAATGATTACTTTCACCACAGAAACCCCACTGCCAAAATTGGGAGAGCAGAAGTTGAGAGGAGTCGTTTGTTTCTGCAAAAGTAATTGATTTTTACTGTAAGACTAGCTGGCATCCTGACGCTGAAAGCCTGAATTTTGCCTAGTAGGGTCAAGAGCTACTGAGAAGCCAAAGTGAAGTTGATATCATCCCCACAGAGTACCAAAGCCAATTCCAAAAGGTTCACCAACTAAAACAATAGATAAAGAAAATAAATCATTATAAATAAATAAAAATACTGCATACAATACGGCCCGCACGTATTGTTTTTATGGAAAAGTTGGAGTCTTTTGAAAGCTCCATTTACCGATCTGAAGTGATCAACAAAAGCCCCACATCTAATCTTCCCTTTAAATATTCAAAGAAATAAAGAAAAGCTTTTTGCTTTCTTTTTCATCTAAGGAAAAGAACTACCTCTGGTTTTCACTGTGAATAGCAGAAAATGTGAAGTAAAATAGTAGAATTTACCTGGGGAAAAAATGTATACACTTTAGAATTTACCTCCCTTGAAGATGAGGATAGGGGGAGAGAGGAGCGGTGGGATACTCGTATTCAGCTTGTTTATTATGTCGTCTCTGAACTCCTTACCACTACTGTGTGCTACAAGTCTGCTAAACTGTCGGATCTTGTCATTATCATCCATTTTCTTCTCTTTTTCTATTCTATGCCTATTAATCCGTGTCTTTTCCAGTAATTAATACTCCCTAAAATTTCTTCTCTAAATAAGTGTAGAAAAATACCTAATAAAAAAATATTAAAATGATAGTTTTAAATTTTTAAGACCAAAATAAGAGTATAATGACAGTGTGATGTGATAGTATGTATTGACATTGTGATGTGAAAATGATGGTAGCGTAATATGGCAATGAGTTCAGTCCACCGCCAGCAATCGGGGGTGGCACTCTGGTGGGCAGCGACGACGGATTGCAATGTGGCAGTTGCAGTAAGACAACGTGGTGAGTGTCAGTGTAACTATAGCAGTCTGAACTCCTATTTTAATCTTAAAAGACTTAATGATCTTATTTTGATATTTTCATAGTTTGTACTCTTATTCAAGAAGTTATCCCTTTAATAAAACTTCGAAAATCTAAAAATAATTAGGCATCGATCGGGGTTGTGTTAGGCATGCCACGTAGCCCTTAATGCCGAAGGGAACACCTCCCCCCCCCCCCTCGATGTTCGGCGTAGAGGTAAAGCAGGTGCCTAAAACACCGACTGACATTCCCTTTTTTATATTTTTTGAATGTTGAATTTTTTTCGACCGTTTGGTCAAATTTTAGAAATGAAATTTGTTTTTTTTGGGCCGTTAGGTCAGTTTAAAAATTACATTTCCTTCTCTATTTAAATAACTTCTTCCCCAAATTTTCACCAATTTTCTCTCCAATATTTTTACTTATCTTTGTTTAGTTTACTCTTGTCTTCACTCTCATTTTTCTTCATATCTCAATTTTCTACTCCTATTTAAATTTACTAAAATGGACCCAAACTATCCAAATCGGCCTGAGTTTCAATCAATCGCCAATTTCAATCAGACTGGAAAAAATTAGAGTTAGAGGAATTTAAAATAATGAGAGGGGACATCGAGGTCTTTCCAGCGATGGAAACAGATGGTGTTGAGGAAAATGAATGACAAAACTACAGGGAAAGTAATTGTTGGACAATGTGCTATAAGAGCAGTGGAAATACTGCTAACGCCAAGGGGCGTTAGGCGAGTTTTGACGCCTGGGGGGCGTGAAACACCGCCCCCCTTCCCCGTTAAAAGGGCGTTAAAATACTTGCGTTAAAGGTTTGACGCGGTTTGAAGGCATTATCACGCCTTCTTCCTTCTTTTTTCTCCCTCTTTTTTCTTCTTTTCTTCTCTATAAATTAAATTTATTTTTTTAAAAAAATTTAACATAAATACAAAATTCTCTCTATCATTTTTTTAAAAAATTATTATTCAAGTATTTTATTTATTTTTTCATGAATGTAATTTTTTTATTTAATGAATGTAATGTTTTTATTTAATTAATGTAGTTTTTTTATAATGCATGCAATTTTTTTATTTAATGAATGTAATTTTTTTTATTTAAAATCATGGAAACTGACCTTTCTACGTTGTCGGGTTTCAAACCGATGATATACGAGCAAAGACAAAGAGAGATCAAGGCGAAATATAATTTACCTTAGTTTTTTTTAATTAATATATCTTTTTTAATATTGTCGTTTTTTTATTTTAATGAATGTATTTTTTTGTATTCGTGTTTCAATATTATTAAATAATAAATTAATTTAAATTTATTAATTTAAATTTAGAAGATGTATATTTAAAAATGTAAAAAATAAAGGTTTGAAGCCCCAGTTTGAAGCCCCGGGGCTTCAAACCCATTTCCAGTGAATTTTTGGTGTAAGTTAAAGCTGACGTGGCAGAAAGAGATATTCTGAAGCCCCGGGGCTTCAAAGGTATTACCAGTGCTCTAATGAATATGTATATTTGCAATGTCTTTTGCCCATTGTCTTTTAGGTTTTGATAATGACAAAAAGGTGAAAAAAGATCACCATCATATTGTGCATCAAGGCTAAGAATCAAAGCTACGACAAGTTCATATCTGTCCATGAAGAAGGGACTTGAGCAACGGCGGAAGGATCGAGACCGAAGACGTTGTTACCATGGTTGGGGAGTCTTCTAGATCTTAAAATGTGTGTTAAAGAATATGACATCTCTAAGATTCATTCCTTGATAATCCTACCTTCAAAACACCTTTTAGACCAGCCTTTGTATGGAGAAATTGCCCTTCTATTCAAATAACTTTTGGTTTATTCGAATAAGTCTCGAACTTCTGAGTTTGAGTAGAAATACTGATTTATTCGAATAACTCTTGATTTATTCGAATAAGTCACTGTTTTTTCTCGCTTTGGATTTGTTCTGAACTATTCAAATAGTTATAGATTTATTCGAATAGTCTGGCAATTTCAACTTCCAAACGGTTAGTTTTTTGAATGTTTTTCATCCCTATCTACTCCCTAACTTATATAAACTCTATTGTCTCGTTATTATCTTTAGAAGAACACCAAGAACACGTATCATAACGCATCCTTTGAATATCCAAAGAGATTCTCTTCAATCCCCTTCTAATATCCGAGTAAGACAATTGTTTTGATTGCTAAATCCTTTCTTGCTTCAGTTTATCCTCATTGCTTGAGTCTTTGAAAGACTATGCTATATTCTATAGGATTTCATTGTATTTGTAGCGATCTACTCCACGTTGGGAGAATTATTACGTTGTGGTTTGTTTTATTACTTTTTGTAAGGGATTTCTATTCTTGGTGTTGGGGTTACACCAAGTGGTAGAAATTCTAACGGTTTGTGAAATCAAACGTTAGGTGGAAGAAATCCCAATTCTTTTGAAATCAAGACTTCGGTGGTAGGATAAGAGGCTTGTCAAACAAAGTTCTCGAGTTGTATTCGGATTGTCACACTCAGTTAAGTTTGACGAGTTAGTGAAGGCTCGGGCACATTTGCCTTGGGGACTGGATGTAGGCATTTAGGCCGAACCAGTATATATCGTGTGTTCATTGCTTTTATCTTTCACTTTATTCTGGTTGTGGTGCGTTGGTTTTGATTGAGTATTTGTCAAGAACGCTTCCGCGTGAAAAACCGGTCATTTGGGAAACATCTCTATTCACCCCCCATAGAGGTGTGCAAGATGTCTAAAAGTAATCTTATCGCACTTTTAAATATCTTATTTTACCTTTTCTAAATTTAATTGTACTTTTTTTTACTTTTTATGCATCAACATTATTTAATGTAATTTTTTATTGTACTATTTTAACGCACTTTTTAAATTTCATGATTTATGTTTGTAATTTTTTAATTAAGTAATAGTTTTTTAAATTTAATATATGTATTTTAATAAAAATAGTAAATGAAATGTTATAACAGTAATATTTAAAATAATAAAAAAAGAATAAGGATAAGATAAGAATCCACACTCCTAAGAACATGATTAATATGACTTTGAATTCCAAAAATGCCCCTCCATCTAAAAACATAAAAGTTTTTATCTTTTCCAGTAATTGGGCAGTGTAGACGGTGGCCGGGCGGCCTGCTCACGGGCGATAAATGACTGAAATACCCACAATTAACATGTCTGGCCCGATCGAAAAGCACAGCTGCTAGTGAAGCGACATGTAAATGTGGCCAAATAAGAAAATAATTGGTGAGTAACAGATTGAATAACCAATCGAAAAAGGACTGAATTGTGATTAAAAAATAATTGAAAAAAAATTCTAGACGGCTATAGAAAAAACATACCTAGGCCAGTTTCTGATTGAAGGTAGCGGCTAATGAAGCTCATCATCATCTCCAATTCCGTGAAGCTATTTAGACTTCGAATCATATACCAGCGACCTTACTACTCCTACTGGCGTCCTTCTTGCAACCCTAATCCCTAGATGCCGAGTGGAGATGTTGAGATGCCGAGATTCTGAGTGTGGGGGGGGGGGGGGCTGATGATGATGAGACGATCTCAAGAACGGCGATGGTTGCAACTTTGATCCTTAGATTAGATTTAGGTTTTGAGGAGGGGAATTGAAAGAGAGACGAAGATAAGAGGGAGAAAGAATGTCGATAGAGTGGGAAGGTTGTGGAGTAGATG